TTTTACAAAAAAAATCATAATTAGTTTAGAAAGTAAAATTTTAATTTTTTTAGAGTTTCCTTCCTTTCTATTGCAAAGCTCCCATATATGTAAATTGTTTTATATAAATAGGATGGTTTGTAAATATTAAAAAGGCAGGAAATTAGATTTCCTCTAGCCTGATGCTAATATTCTTCTTATTTTTTATTTTTTTATTTTATCTCTTATTTTTTTTATTATTTATCAATAAACAATTATAATAATAAAGTTTTCTTTATAAGTAATTTTATAATATTCCATTATAATTAATGTAATTAAAAGTAAATTCTAAAAAGTTTATCATAGAATAATCATAAAATTTTTTAATATAATTTTTTTTTAAAAATTACAAATTTTTAGTTTATAAATAAACATTAAATTTTTTATTATATAATTAAAAGGTAATATTTGTTATAAGATATTATATATTTATAAAATTAATTTAAAAAAAAATATTAATTATTTATAAAAGTAAATCAAAAAAGAATTTATAGTAAATAAGCAGGCAAATTTGCTTGTAAAACCCTACAATCTAAGGGATAATATTATATTTCTAATATTAATACTATCTAAAATGCTATTATTTGATAAAACTTATTTATAAAATTCCAAAACTTAAAATTGATAAATTTAAGTTTAACAATTTGATATGTATTATTAAATTACATATTTTAAATTATTATATATTTTTATATTAATAGTATTATTTTATAATAAAATTTTTTAAATAATATATCTAAAATAATTTAATCTTAAAAAATTAATAAAAAAAATACTAAAAATTAGACAATTTTTATAACAATTTTTTGCAATATCTTACCTATATTCAAAATTACATTATTATTTAGTTTATCACTTTTCATGTGAATTGTATTTTTTTTAAAAAAATATAAAGTTCATTAATGCAATAAATTTGTATTATATTGTGATGTATTGTATAAACAGATTTAAAATAATACAAAAAAAAAACTAAAGTTATAATAAATCTAAAGGAATAATAGTTCAAATCAAATAACAACAATAATAATAATTCTTGTTAAAAAAATATATATATATATATATACTAAATACACAAATCATATACACATAACATCCACTACATCCACTAACCATACCAAATAATACGCCCTATAATTAATTGAACTTTAATATATTCCTTCTAATTAAAATGCCCGCTCCATACGCTCCATATATTGTATAAATAAATCGTAACAGTCAATCAACTTGTAGTATATATCTCTCTTCTCAAATCATAATAATATATTAATTTTAAAATATTATTTAATTGATTTCTAAACTCAACATTCTTAAATTCTTTGATATATATCATTTATCATATAAAATTAATCAAGCAGGCTCTCTAGAACCTCCTAAAGTATCGACATTACTTTCATTTCTCATAAGTGCCTCGTCAACGCCTAATGAATTATTTGATAAAATATTTACGGGTTGTTTTTTAATATCATTTACTTGCTCCGATGTTTGACCATGATCATCAACTTCGTTAAAATGAGATGTTTCAGCATTATAGGAAGATCCATATGATTGAATTTCCTGATCACTTGACCCTCTTGCTGAAACTGCTGATATTTCCGCTGCTGGTGTCGTAATATTACGAATATTATGATTATGTATACGTGGATACGAAGGGGGGGACGGTGTGATTATAGCCTCATTTGTAGAATTTGTTGTTGAACTTGGGGTTGATGGTCCCGAACCTCTTGACGACGGAGCTGACACACTTGTTATAGTGCCATATTCTGTACTTGCTGTTATGGGTGTTGATACAGTAGTTGATATATGATCATTTAAATGAGAAATTGATGAACTACCATCTTCTTCTTCACCTGCATTTTCCAGTAAATCCTGTCTTGAAGCAAGTATCTCGTCTTCTGAAGGGCTATTATCAATCCTATTAATATCATCAAACAACCTTCTTTCGACATTTCCATCATTATTAGATAGATTAGGTGACGTTATGGTTCCTGTTGTAGAACCATCAGACGATGATACATTATTAGAATTCTCATCCTGTGCTCTTTCAGTCTGGTCTCTTTCATCTCGCTCTCTCCTTTCTCTTTCGTCTTGTTCTAATAGACTCAATCGGATTGCCTCCATAACCATAAGTTCCTCTAGGTCTGTACCCATTCTCATTGCAGCTAGGTATCCTCCATACTCGCCTCCAGCAGGTTGGTTATTGCGTCGAGAAGAATTGGTCGTGGATGAAGAAGTCACGTAGGCACTTCCTCCTCCATGACGAGCCGGAATACGCCTCGAACTTCCTGAAGTAGTGGTAGAAGATCGTCTTGTACTCTGAGGTTGACGAGAAGGTTGTAATACTCGCGTTGCCCAATCTGGACGAATTTGATCTTGATAAGATAAAATTAATAGATCAAAAATTAAATTATTATCGAAAAAAAATTTTCTAAAATCCCATTAAGTATTATATCAAATCAAGAAAATTTTCCATCATTTTATAAAAAATTTACCAGTAGTAACAACATCCGGATTTTTATGACTCACACTTTTTCTTCGAGGTCTTCCATCATGTGGATTAAGAGAGGTAGTTGAAGATGGTGTTGGAATTAAATTATTTGTGTTTGGAGATGTAGAAGACTTTTAAAAAAGGTAATAAGATGTAAATAATATTGATGTGTAATTTTTTTTAAAATAAAAAATATAAATAACAACATACCGAACTTTCACTACCGATTCCTGCAATGAAAGAAGGAGGTTTATAACATATACCAAAGTTAGGCTGTACACAAAATGGACACACAGCTGGAGAATTGTTAGCGCTTAATGTTCCACTCTCAGGTCGTTTTATTTGAACAAAACATTCAGTACATATTGGTTGATCACAACATCGAGAGTAATTAATATTCCGCGGATAATACTGTGTATTATTTTAAAATAATATGTAAATACGATTTAGTATTAAAATCCTTAATTACAAAAGAGATGAATTTAGTTTTGAATTTTAAATATTTCTGAATCTATATTTTATTGATCCGATATAAAAAAATCTTTTTTTTTTTTTTGTATATTTCTAACTTATAATAGTAAAGAATCTATCATAAATTCCAATTGCCGACTCACCAAAAAACAAATAGGGCATTCGACAGCACCCTTATATAGCTGAGACTCTAATGATTTGGACGAAGGTACCTCTTTACCTTTTGTTGTGCCTACGGTATTTAAAGTAGCTGAACGTTTAACTTCTCTATTTCCTTGTGAATTACATTCGTTACTAAAAGCAACGGTTTGATTGACCTCACCATTTTTTGGAAGATTATGGGTAGTTAATGTGACATCGTTCCAACCTTCGTCATAATCTGGTAAACCTTTATAGAAAGGTGCTAATTTTCTTTCTATGATGAGTTTTCGGACACTCCTGTAGTCCCAATCCTGTGGTCCTTTATATACTCCATGCGACGTTAGTTGACCTCCGTCTACAGTTTCTTCTCCTTTATCTTTACCTATTGAATTTCCCATGTTGGTAAATACTATTTTTCAAAGTAATAAAACGTTAGTATATGATATCGGATCGAGTACTTTCAACCAGTTTAATTAAATTTCAAGGAAAATCTAAACTTATATAATAATTACAAAAGTATAGTTGAGCTGGTTCTATAAGAGATATAGAGGTTTAAGATTTACTAAATAAACAACGCTGCCTTTAGACTTCATGGGGTTCTCGAAACCCTATATTAAACAGTATGGAATATCTCTTCTGTAACGGAGATAAGAAAAAAAGCGATTCACTAAAGAATAGCTCCCGTGTTAAATTCTTTTTTTATGTTCTAGGGGTTTTTTGAATTTAAATTCCATATTCTGTATTACTAAAATATCCCATAATCAAAATGATCTCATATATCACGTACGTGGTGAATAGTTAAAAAAATATTCAATGACTAATTACGCCTTTTAGCGTTTTTTTTTTTTTTCCTTTCTCAATGACGTAGTTAACATAAAACTTCGTTTTACCATTATATAAATTATTAAAAAAAAAATATTATATTATAATATATGTAATTATTTGTTATCTATAAGGTTGGTTTTAATATAGTTTTAAAATTTTAATATAGTTTTACCAAGTTTTACTTTTTACTATTTTATATAATTATTAGTTATTTAATAATATTAAGATTTATATTATTAAAAATTTTAAATTTATGTAATTTAATAATATTTATATAGTGAAATAGAAATGGTTTTATTAGATGATTAATTAATTAAATTTGATCATTGAATTTAGGTTTTAATGATTCTAAAATTTCAATTTTAAAGATGATTTTATTTTACTAGCATTATATTTACTTTTTAATGATAATGTATGAATTGTATATTTATTAATATACTTATGCAAAAATTTAGAATTTTAAATTTTAAAACTTAGGATTTACTCATAAGAATTAGTTCTTATCTTGATAGTCCATAAAATTGTTGATTTCAAAGTTTATATTTCTTTTAAACATTATTTATAAAATTTATTATAAGTTTTTATTAAAAGTTACTTATTATTAATAAGCGATTAAACTTTTATAACTTGTAATTTTTTAAATTATTCTACAATTATTTGAAATTATTTAACATTTTTAATAATGAATAAGTAATTATAATATAAAAATTCATAAAAAATTACTTACATAATGTGAAAATCTAAAAAGAAAATAAAATTAAACAAATTAACAGCAAAAAAAAATACAAAAGAACTAAAAATATAAATTTAAAAAAAATAATTAGAAAAAGAAAAAATGTATTATAAGAATCAATCTTAATCTCTATCAAGAAAAAATTATATAATAAAGAAAAAATTTTTTAATTATAAATAAAGATGGTGTAGCAATTAATTTCAAATTTATAACATGTTACAATATAAGTTAAAAGTTGTAACTTATATAAGTCAAAACTAATTATAACATAAGTTGCAATATTAAAGTTATAATATATTATTAATTATAGATCTCATCTTTAATCATAAATAAATTCATTTGATTAAAATTTTAAAAATTTAAGATAAAGTTATAGTTATTATGAAACTTTATTTAGATTTCTTAAAAAATTAAAAAAACAATTATTATACATGAAGTCGAAATGTAAACCCAAAAGTTGAAATGTTTTAATTTTGGAGGTCAAAATCGAAATAAAAAGTCAAAATAGTTGAAATGATGTTATATCACATGATTTTTTATATATAGAAAAACAAAAAAAATAAAAGATATACAATCTCTGTTAATATCATTCTGATTTGTATATAATAACTACCATTCGATTCCTCATGACTAGACAAATCTAATAAGCTAACATTCATTGATTTTGGATTAGCCCGTCTCAAGATATTTGCGATTAAATTTTAAAATCTGAATTTCTTTATTTAAAGTAGGATTTATTGATTTATAATTTCAGCTGATAATACAAATGCGATTATCTTGAGATTGGATGATCTGAAATCAATACATGTTAGCTTATTGGATTTGTCTAGTCACAAGGAATTGAATGATAGTTGTTTTATACAATTTAGAGTGATATTAACAGAGATTGTATATCTTTTATTTTTTATTTTTTATATAAAAAATCATGTGATATAACATCATTTTGATCATTTTGACTTTTTAACCTTCAATTAGAATTGGTAAAAGTCCTAATTGGTCCTAATTGGTCCTGATTAATTTTAAAAAAATTATTAGTTTTAAAGATTAATTTTTTTTAAATATTATTATTATATTCAATTTTTAAATTAAAGTTACTTATTAAAATAAGTTTAAATTTCTTTTTAAAATTTAAAATATCTTTAAAATTTTAGATTTAGGATTTAGGTCCTAAAACCAGGTCCTAAATTAAGTATATTCATTATTTTTAAAGAATTTTTTTATTTTAAATTAATAAAATAATTAATATAT